ACCCCACACTCAGCAGAGCCTCACTTCCTCACAGCTCTGAGGCCAGGAGCCCAAGCTCAGCTTCCAGCGAGGGCTCTTCTGCTTACAGACGGCCACCTCCTCACTCTGTCCCATGAGGCCTCGGCCGCAGGGGACAGGGCAGGAGAGGGCCCTCTGGTGCCTCCTCTTATGCGGACAGTAACCCTCTGGGATCAGGGCCCCACCTCGTGACCACTTCCTACCCTAATGACCTCCTCTGAGGCCCCATCTCAACATATGCCTTTGTGGGGGACGCAGACATTCTGTCCATGGCAGGGCTCATCAGAGGAGGATAGCTCTTCAGCGAAAGCTGAAAACCGGCACAATTTAGCTCAATAGTTGCATACACTTCCCTCCTGGGTTACAGGATTGCTAAGTCTCAAGGAGCATTTCACCTCTGACCTGCTAAGGAGCACTGCATCCTGTGTGGGGTCCCGGACACATCTCATGACGTGAGGGCTTCTGGACCTCCGCACTGGGTGGGGGTGAAGCAGACCCGCCCAGCCCAGGTGAGCCAGGGGCCAGGATCGACCCCATCACAGAGGGTGCAAGTGGACAGAGGCCCAGATCCAGGCCAGGGTGCACAGTGAAGGGGGGCGGCAGCCTTTCAGCGTGGAAATCTCCAGATTTTCATGGGAAGCTGGAATCGTGCTCTTCCTGCCCTTCTTGCCTGCTGAGACTGTCCCCTCCCTCTGTTGATCCCCCCGACAGTCCTGCCTGCAGGCCACACGACAGGCCTGGGTGAACCGCAGGCCCCTGGTCATCTCCACGCTGGTCCCCACTCTGGGCGCTTGAACCCCAGACCCGGCAAGTCTCCCAGCTGGGCTGACACAGCAGTGCAGACCGCTGCTGGGACCTCACATCCTGGGCCACATGTCCTGGAAGGAACCCATCTTTGGCCCCCCTCAGTGTCCTTCATGCTCTCCACTCACCCACCCTCCCTCCCTTTTCTTTTATCGACCCCCAATTTCCCCTCTTTCGAACGATGAAATCTGCGAGAATGGAAAATCCCTCTCTTTGGCACAAGCAGACGGTCTGTGACTTAGAAGCGCCAGCCCTCAGTCTAGGCAAAAACCAAGTAAATTAATTAAATAAGCCCACTGCCTTTTAAAAATTCATGAAAGTCAGCACCAACACAAACATTACAAGCAAATTTTCAGGACATTATTGCCCTTGGAGGTTGGAACTTTCCAGTTCATGTCCTTCCTGAAGGTGACTTTTTATGGAAGCTTTAATGAAATTAGTTTATCCGTTTCTGAGTCAGGAAGCACAGATTAAGATCCAATTTTTATAGCTTGACATTTTCTAACTATGCAGAGGAAATGAATTCAAGAAAATATTTAGAATTTCCCCTAAAATGTACAGCTTGAGGGGGATTACAAACTTGGGAATCCTTGGGAGAAAGGTGTGATGGAGAAACCAAGTTCATGAGTTCACCCCACTGTGACCGGCAGGGCTGCCCACCTGCAGCTCGAGGGCTCAGCAGACCTGACAGGCATCCCCCTGCCTCAGGAGAGGGGGTGGGATCGGCCGTAATGTGGGAAAAGCACTCTGCTTCTGGTCAAGAAGAACCATGGGTTCAGGTGGACACCTGGACAGATGCCTGAACTCCTGGAAACAGCAAAACTGAAGCCTTTCCAAGACCACCAACCCTGGCGTGGCTGGGCACAGCTGGACCTGAGGAAGTGACCAGAGAGGAAGAGACAAGTCCCTACTAATGTCCCACATGCAGCTGGATGCTTCTGGGGGAGGACGGTGAACAGAAACCCCACCTGGGCAGCTCCAGAGCTGGCCTAAGCTGTCCAACAGGTCACTGTGCAAGCCCAGGGCATGGGGAACCCCAGGCACAGGGATGGAGACCCCAGCATGGAGATGGGAGACCCTGTATGGAGATGGAGACCCGGCGTGGAGATGGAGACCCAGGCACGGTGATGGGGACCCCAGAATAGGAATGGGGCCCCCAGTATGGGAAATAGAGACCCCAGTAGGGAGATGGGAAACCCAGTTTGGATATGGAGACCCCAGCATGGGGATGGAGACCCTTGCATGGGGAGACCTGGCATCAGGAGCCAGGGTCTGATAGTTTCCAAAGGCTGGGCTGTGAGTCCCCAGCACTTCCCGGGCTGTCCCAGAGACCTCCTGTCATCCCTTCACGGAACTCTCTCCGCTTCATGAGCACAGCCCTCAGTACCCCAACCTGGGCGCTGCAATCTCTACTTTTCCGATTTCAGAGGTGTTGGCTCCTGAAGAGATGGAATTCCCGCTGCTCCTTCAACGTTTTCCAAAGCCGGCTCCCTGGGCCCCACAGGCTGCTCCATGCCGACCACACGTTTTAGACTGTGTGTGTTTGCATGTCCTGCACTTATTTGGAAGCCAGCGATGCTTCAGCAGTCACCTGAGCAACCTGCACCAGCGACCTGGCAGCACCGGCAGGGCCTGGGTTCCAGGATGAAGACCCTGGACTCCACCCCAAGACCACAGCAGTGCTGAAATGACTGTCTCTGCTGTTTTACACATTTGAGTTTTTCCTACCTAAAAAATTGATGCATTTCAGTAAGACTTTGGAAACCTGGAAAGTAAAACAAAACTCCTGTAACCGCGTCTCAGAGATAAATGCTGCTAACGATTCTGTGTGTCAGTTCCAGTGGGGGCTCGGGCGGGGTCTGCGGATGTCCCCACTGCAGGGCTTCCTTTGGCAAGGTGCAGGGCCCTCCCCATTGTCCCCACAGCAGGGCCCCTGTAGGACAGAGACCCTCCCCCGGAGGGACACAAGGAGGGCCTGAGAGGCCTGAAGGCCTGACCCCAAGTCAGAAAGCTGGTCACAGTCCCTGGTCTCCTTGAAGCCCCCGAGGACACGGCGTCCAGCAGTGAGCCCACTGCTGACCTGGAATTACGTGCCCTGGACCCCACTCGGGAGGTGCCACTGGCCGGTAGTATTGATTTCTAATTTTAAAGTAGTATAATTCAAAGCCACTTTAGGGGCTGTCGCTTTCAACTTCCACTCGGAACAGACGAGCTGGGAAGAGCGGCTGCCCACCTCGCACAAAGCACCACACAGTCTGCGAACTTCCCCGTTTTCCCGAGCCCGTCGGAGAGCCAAGTCCCGGGGCAACGGTAACCCGAAATCCAGGGGAAATACAGGCGCTCTCGGGGAGGGACAGGACACCGTGGGAACGAGAAGGGCTCAGAAAAAATTCAGGCCCGGTCCTGAATGTGGGCCAGTGGGATATGCAGGACCCCTGGAGGCTGCAGAGGTTGGGAGACGGGGTCTGCAGGGGCCTTGCAGCTGCCCACAGGGAAAAGGGGGCCGGCAGGGGGAGGGCGCCAAGCCCCAGCACTGCGGGCCTGATGAGGTCCCAGTGCCACTGGGGGAGGAAGAGAAAACCCCTCTGCCCCGGGGAGGGGGCCCACACCACAGCTGGGGAGGCTGGGGTGCCGAGGAGGCCCCACCCCAGAAGCAGGAATGCAGCAGCAAGGGTCCCTTAGACGGCTCCTTGAGGGGGCTGCCTCTGTGTGGCCTGCAGATCACTCCCACCCCCTCGCCTCCTCCTGGAAGCCCACCAGCCTGCACAACCCTCCTGGTGACCCCCCGCATTCCTCCCCCCGTGGCACCCACCATTCTCTGTCGTCTTCCAAACCTACTTTTCCAGAAATGTTTCATGAGCTTGGGCCTCCAGCCATGGGGGGTCTGGGTGACGGACACCCAGTAAAAGAGCACGAGTTACTAGGGGGACGGACCTGGGCTGAGCACTGGGTGAACCCCAGGCCAGGCTGTCAAAGCTCAGCCCACGAACCTGTGGGGGGATGGACACAGGCAGGTGTCACAGGGAGCAGGGACCAAGCCCGGCTGTGCAGACACAGAGCCCTGTGAACTGGGCCCTCCCCGGGGGGCAGAACGGCTTTCCACGAGGGACAGCTTGACACACTTAGGTCTGCACTACCAACGAGGGCCCAGGCCCCAGCACAGAGCAGGACACAGCTGAGGGGCCCGGGGTCCCGCGGAGTCAGACCCCTGTGCAGAGCTCTCACACAGAGGGTGCTCTCAGAGGCCAGCAGCGGCAGGAGGGTCTAGGCTTCCTGCTCCATGAGAGGAAGTGAAGGCCAAGGGGGGCCCTTTGGAGGGGCTGGTTGGCGCTGGCCCAGCTGGAGAGCACAGCGGGTAGAGCTGCTGGCGGTCCCTGGAGGGTCAGGGTGGAAGGCAGGCTGAGTTCTTAGGAAAGCTGCCCTCCCTCTCCCGGGGCCGAGAAAGCCAGCAAGGCGCAGAGGCTGTCACACCTCAGACACGTCGGAGTCACATGGCCTCCCGGGCCCAGCAGCAGGGCCGGGCAGCGGCACGGGCCCGGGTGCCCGTGGTTGCAGGGCTGCAGCCTCACCAGCTGGCCACGCTCACCACACCCCAAGGTGGGTTTTGGCCGCGGGAGGCTGTCCCAACACCTTGAGACAGAGCATGAACTCAGCAGTCTGCTGCAGTCCCTACCACCGGCTACTGTCCACGCCTGCCCACCTTCAACACTTATCCTACCTGCTCCCAAAGACATATAACAAATTCATGATTGTGTAAGAAGTTCAGACGTAACTGAGGGGTGATGGCAGCAGTCCCAGGTCTGAAGCAGAGTGGTGACAACCACGTTTCTTCCTCAGGAGCTCAGCCAGGCCACATGCAGAGTAAGGCTTGGCCTGGGGCACCGGATGTGGGCAAGTACCCAGAGCTACTGCAAGGGTCCAACACACCAGGCACCCCCGTGCAGAGAGGCGCCCGGTGCCTGGCCGGAGCTCCCAGCATCCCCAGGGCCCTGGGGCAGGTGAGGCCAAGCAGGGCGAGGTCTGGCCCCAGCCCCTTCCCCCAGGGCCACTCGTGTCGGTCTGCATTCAGCGCTCCGCCTCTAAATGGTTCCCCAGGCTGAGAGGCGCCAACTGGTCGATCCCAGCAAAGCCGGGTGGGACCCAGGTGAGGTCCAGGTGGGCACAGGTGAGAGTCCTACCTTGGAAGAAGCTCTTCACCCGGAGGTAACTGACGCTGAGGCGCAGGACCGAAAGCTTGTCCAGCTTAGAGATGATGTCAGGGGGCAGTGGCAGCAGGCCGGCTAGGCGGTCCAGCTCGGCGTTGAGGCGATCCCGGTGTCTCTTGGAAGGGTTCGACTTCTCGGCGCCCACGGCGGGCCTCCTGTGGGGAAAGATCACTATCAGACTGGGAGGCCCAGGCTGAAAGCCGTCCCAGGCGGTGCCATCAGACGGAAACGCTCCCATCCCCGAAGATGCGCGAACTAAACCGTGGGCCACGCCAACCGTGCCACTGGCCCACAGTAGTGGGAGGAAGCACAGAGAGACACGGAGCGGGCAGCAGGAGAGCTGTGTGACCCCAGCACGCTTCCTGGCCTCTCTGTGCTAACTCCCCCGACGCGGCAGAAGGACACCGGCTCTGGCCGCACCGCTCACGTCTCTCGGTGTTCCTCTAGGGCCCTCAGTCCAGGTGTAAGCGGCCCCTCCGGGCCTCAGTTTCCCACTACACAGCAGGGCTGAAAGGTTCTGAGGCGAAGATGATGGAGGCGGCCCAGGCACCGCAGCGCTGTCCCGCCCGCCCCTCCGAGGCCCCGAAGTGTGGTGGCCGGGGCCCCGCCACAGGCCTGCCCGCCCCCCACAGAGGCAGCGGCCCCTGCCCAGGCTTCCCCGCCCACCGCGACCCCGCTCCTGGGCCCTCTCAACCCCGGGACGACGGTGCCCTCCCCCGCCCCGCCCCCACCTTCCTAGAAAGCAAAGCCAGGACGGCTGGGGAGGGGCCGCTGCCCCGGGCCTGCCCCTCCCTGCTGCTCTTAGGGGCTCGGGACTCTTTTGTCCGGAAGTTCCTATTCCTCTACCGTGTGTTCACTCCTACGAACGTGGAAAGCTGCCTTACGCCATCCTTTCTGTCAGAAGCCCGGGGCTCACCCCCAACCCATGCTGTCGGCGCCGAGGCCACACAAAACCTCACAAGAGCTGCAGCTCCAACCCCAGAAGCGGCTTTTTTCTTTTAATGGAGATGCAAGTCACATGACATAAAGCTGTTTTAAAGTTTTGGCATTTACTACGTTCACAGTGCTGTCAACCTCTATCACGCTCCAAAACATTTCTTCACCCCCAAGTCACCCCCCGCCCGCGCCGCTAAGCAGTTTCTCTCATCTTCCCCGCCTCTCAGCCCTCGGCGGCCACAATCGCTTTCTGTCTCCCCAGGTCTGCCCGTTCTAGACACTGTGTGTAAATGGAATCAGACTTTGCGCGCCTGGCCTCCTTCACTGGCCGTCGGGCGTCAAGGTTCGCCCACGGCACAGCCCGGGTGGAGCTCCACTCCTTTTCACGCTGTGTTCCACGGCCTGGATGGATGCTTACCTGTTCACCAGTCCACGGGCGCTTGCCTCGCTCCCACTTTACGGGTATTGTAAACCCTGCAGCCATAAACTTCGAGTCCACGTTTCTGCTTGAACACATGCCTTCGCTTCTCTTGGGTATACGCCTAAGAGCGGAGCAACCAGCTTAACCTGGTGGTTCTAGGTTTAACCTTGAGAGGAGCTGCCAGACTGTCCTCCACAGAGGCTGTGCCCCGTCACGCCCCCCAGCCACACTCCACAGCCTCGCCAGCACTTGTTATTTTCCTTTTTTAAAATAAGAGCCATTCTCGTAGGTGTAAAGCAGTATCTCATTGTGGTTTGATTGGCATTTCCTTAATGACCAGTAAAGTCAAGCGTCTTTTCACGTGTTTGTCGGCTATCTCTTTATCTTCTTTGGAGAAATGTCTACTCAAGTCCTTTGCCCATTTTCGAATTGGGGTGTTTGCTTTTCTGTTCTTGAGTTGTAGGAAATCTTTATATATTCAGGATCCTAGATCCTTAGCAGACATACAATTTGCAATTATTTTCTCCCATTCTCTGGTTATCTTGCCACTTTCTGCTGTTTCTTTTTTATTTTTTTCCCCTCAGTGAGGCACCTACACCAACATTACTCATGCCACTAGCCAAAATTTAAAGGGTCAGGAGGCCTGGGGACACTGAACAGACCCCGTGTGGAACGGCCCACCCAGGAGTGAAAGACAATCGAAGCCGCCCCAGAAAACAAGGTAGCACTGAGGGCAGGTGTGGGGGCCACAGAAGGGGAGAGGGTGGCCCGGCTCAAATCTCACCTCCGGGTAGACCTGTGGGGAGCAGTCGCCCCTCCCAGCCCACGTGTGCCTGGGATGGGACGAGCCGTGACTGTCCCCAGCCCGCACCCCCGAGGGGCAACTAGGGGGACACTCGCAACTGAAGAAACAGGTGCTGGAAAAGCTCTAGTCCTTCCAGCTTTCTCAGACCACCTGGCTGCCCCTCCACGCAGCCCCCCTCCAGCTCCAGGCACCAGAGCAGAACCTCCCCGCCCCCGCCAGGTGGGTGAGAGGGGCCACGTGGAGGGAAATGCTCCCCTGAGCTGGCCTCTGGCTCAAGCCCAGGGCCACAGGGAGGAAGCTCCAACTCCCCAGGGTGGAGACGCGGCAGGAGTGAGGGGACAAGGACCGGCAGCACGGGAGGCGTCTGGCCACTCGCTGGCAGGAGGGTTACAACGGGAGCCAAAACATAGAACACCTGGGACCAGCCCAACAGAAGACATTCCAGACGCCTAAACGGAGACTATAAAATAGTGCTGAGGAAACTTAAAGAGACATAAACAAACAGAAAGACACACCATGCACAGGACTGTAAGACTCAGTACTGTTAAGACTGTGTCACTCCCCCAAACTGATCCGTGGACTCAATGGAGCCTCAACTGAAATTCCAGCAGGACCTTTTACAGAAATGACAGGAGTCTAGACTTCACATGGACACGCAGAGGACAGAGAATAGCCAATTAGAGGGCAAAGTTGGAGGACTTGCCTGACTGACTATAAGCCTCTCTGAAGCTGCAATGTTCCCAATGGTTTGGTATTAGAGAAACGATGGAAACATAGATCAACAGAATAGAGGGCTGAGAAACAGACTCGCATATGTTTGGTCAATTCATTTGACACAGATACTGAGGCAATTCAATAGGGAAAGAAAGTCTTTTCAATAAATGTGCTAATCAACTGGACATCCATGAAAACAAGTAAACATCAGCCCTTACCTCACACAATACCTGAAATTAGCTCAAAATAGATCACAGACCTAAGTCTAAAACGTACCATGAAAGTTTACAAGAAAATACGCGAGAAAATCTTTGAGACCTCAGAGTAGTCCTGGGACTCTTAGGACACACACCAAAAAAAAAAAACAACTTGTGAAAGAAAAAAATGATAAATTGATCTTTTTCAAAAATTTTTAATTGTCTTTGAAAATCACCATTAAGAAAATGAAAAGGGGAGGCATAGATTGGTTAAAAATATTCACAAAAAGAGCCTGTATCCAGAATATGTAAAGAAGTTTTACAATTCAACGAGAAGACAAACAGCCCAATAAGAAGATAGGCAAATTATTTAGAAAACTCTTCACCAAAGAAGCTGTATGGACGGCAAATAAGCACATGAAAGGATATCAACACCATTAGCCACTAGGGAAACACAAATTAAAACCATGGTGAGCTACCACCACAACCCATCAGAGTGGCTGAAACCAAGACTGACACCCCAGGCACCGCTGAGAAAGTAGAGGAATCACACGCTCAGCGGCCAGGAATGTAAACGGTGCAGCTGCTTTGGAAAATGGTCTGGTGGTTTCTTAAAAAGTCAAACCCTCCTCTGCTGTATATGTGACCCACAATCCCACTCCTAGGTGTTTACCCAAGAGAAATGAAAACGTTACATCCAAAGACCCGTACGTAAACATTCACAGCAGCTTTATTCATGATACCCCAACCTGGGAACCACCCAAATGTCCACCTGAGATGAACAAACACACGTGGTTCCTCTACACGACGGGCACCACTCAGCGTAGGAAGGACACACCCGGCACACAAACCACAGAGGAACCGACATCATCTTGACAAGGGAGAGAAGCCCCACAAGGTGTAGGACCCCATTTATAGAAAATTCCAGGAAATGCAGACCAGCCTACCGGACAAGGGTGCAGGCAAGGTCGCCTGGGACGAGGCTACCGCAGGAGTGACCAGGGCACAAGGAACCTTCGGACGTGACGGGAGTGTCTGTGACCTTGGCTTCGGCAATGTTTCTCGGGTGATTACACATCTCAGAACCAATCAGACTGTGCACTGTAAGGACGCGCAGCTCTGCGTGCTCAGTCACAGCCCAATCAAGACCAAACATGCAAACGAGGGGGGAGCCCCGCTGCTCACACACCTCCGAGCTCAAGGTGCCGATCCGCGGTGCAGGGACCCGCCGCTGCGGTCACGCCCCAGCCCTGCTTCCCTCCAGCGCAGGTCCAGCCCTGAGGGCCTGGCAGGGGGCAGGTTCTACCCTGGGGTTCTAGCAGGTGCCACCTCCCGGTTCAGGCATCACAGGCTCACGGCTTTCACGGGCTATCCACGGAGGATGGGGCCAGACCACGGTCCACAGCCCTCGGCGAGGCGAGGGGGCAGTACTGCAGCTGGCCCGTGGGGCTCACACCCCAGGAGGGGCCGTGGGCCCGGGCACCTGCACATGTGCACACCGCCGGCAGCTCCTCTGGCCTTTGCGATACACAGCTGCTGGCACTCGGACAAGCCAGCATGGCCACGTCCCCCCGAGGGTCCGCAGGCACAGCCAGGGGAGTGCGTTCAAGTTACTCCACTGTCTTTCGCTGCCCCTCAAATCACAAGTCTAAGTGCCCAGTGCCATTGCAAATCGGTAAGGAAAACACTGATTATCGAATAGAAGTATTAGGAACAACCAGTGGCCACAGGGGAAAAGAGAGAGATTCAGACCCCACACCTTACACCAGGAAAAATTCCAAGTGCTCAAAATTTAAATATATATATTAAGGAATCCAAGAAATTTAGAAGAAATCCTGGGAAAATTCTCATAAACTTGAAGCAGGGGAGATCTTTCCAGTTGTGACACAAAGTAAAAGATGAATAAATTCAACTCCATAAAAATTAAATGCTTTCTGCGCTGCAAAGAACAGCACAAGTAAATAAAAGCTGGGGAAAGGTATGTGAAATGCATTTAAGAATGAGTCTCCC